AAAAAAACTAGCCTGGCGCGGTGGCGGGCGCCTGTAGTCCCAGCTTCTAGGGAGGCTGAGGCAGGAGAATGGCATGAACCCGGGAGGCGCGGCTTGCAGTGAGCTGAGATCCGGCCACTGCACTCCAGCCTGGGCGACAGAGCGAGACTCTGTCTCAAAAAAAAACTAAAAAAAATACAAAAAACTAGCTGGGCGACGTGGCGGGCGCCTGTAGTCCCAGCTACTCGGGAGGCTGAGGCAGAAGAATGGCGTAAACCCGGGAGGCGCGGCTTGCAGTGAGCTGAGATCCGGCGACTGCACTCCAGCCTGGGCAGCAGGGCGAGACTCCGTCTCAAAAAAAAAAAAAAAATTGTAGGAAGGGTCTCACACCCTTTGTCCAGTTTCCTCTAATTGTAACATCATGCAGGAAACTGGGCAGTTGACATTGATACAATCCACAGTGACTATTAGAATGCTATTAGGGGCCTGGTGCTGTGGCTCACACCTGTAATCCCAACATTTTGTGAGGCCAGGGCAGGTGGATCACCTAAGGCAGGAGTTTGAAACCATCCTGACCAACATGGTGAAACCCTGTCTCTATTGAAAATACGGAAATTAGCTGGGTGTGGTGGTGTGTGCCTGTAATCCCAGCTACTTAGGAGGCTGAGGCAGGAGAATCACCTGAACCTGGGAGGCAGAGGTTGCAGTGAGGCGAGATCATGCCATTGCACTCCAGCCCGGACAACAAGAGTGAAACTCCATCTTGGAAAAAAAAGAATGCTATTAGGATTCTATTATCCTAATGCTATTAGAATGCTATTATCCGAATAGCATTCTTTTTTTTTTTTTTTTTTTTCCTGAGATGGAATCTAGCTCTGTTGCCCAGGCTGGAGTGCAATGGCATGATCTTGGCTCACTGTAACCTCCACCTCCTGGATGCAAGCGATTCTCCTGCGTCAGCCTCCTGAGTAGCTGGGATTACAGGCACATGCCACCATGCCCAGCTAATTTTTGTATTTTTAGTAGAGATGGGGTTTCACCATGCTTGCCAGGCTGGTCTCGAACTCCTGACCTCTTGATCTGCCTGCCTCGGCCTCCCAAAGTGCTGGGATTACAGGGGGGAGCCACCTCGCCCGGCTGGATAATAGTATTCTAATGTTAAGAAACAAAGCTGGTGCAGTGGCTCATGCCTGTAATCCCAGCACTTTGGAATGTGAGCAAGGGTGGATCACTTGAGCTCCGGACTGTGAGACCAGTCTGGGCAACATGGCAAAACCATGTCTCTACCAAAAATACAAAAATTAGCTGGGTGTGGTGACGCACGCCTGTAGTTCCAGCTACTTGTGGGCCTGAGGCAGGAGGATCACTTGAGCCTGGGAGATTGAGGCTGCAGTCAGCCATATTTGTGCCACTGCACTCCAGCCTGGGCTACAGAGTAAGACCCTGCCTCAAAAAAATAAATTGGCAATACATGTTTTTGCTGCTTTCTTGCCCTGGTAGAGAACAATCTTTTTTTTTGAGATGGAGTTTCGCTCTGTCACCCAGGCTGGAGTGCAGTAGCGCAATCTTGGCTCACTGCAACTTCTGCCTCCCAGCTTCAAGCGATTCTCCTGCCTGAGCTTCCCAAGTAGCTGGGATTACAGGCATGTGCCACCATGCCCGTCTAATTTTTATATTTTAGTAGACACGGGGTTTTACCATGTTGGCCTGGCTGGTCT